CTCAGAAATATAGACAGATAATTTCTGTCATTGTTATAAAATACACTTGTTATTATGTACCCAGTTTTCAATTTTTTTCTGTCATTCAAATCATATTTTTCATTGAATGTGTTAATACCTTCAACAAATAATAAAATTAAAGCCCCCACCCCCACATCAATGAAAAGTATTGTAAGATTATTAAGTAATTACTCCACTAGGTGTCATTCTATTCAGGACCACATAAACCCTCTTTCTTCTGTACTCCAAGACAAGATGTAGTAGCAACAGGACTGTTCCCTTACAAGAAGATACTCATTGGGCAGCAGTCTCCCTAATTTTACACCACCACATGGTATCTCACATACAAACATACAGTATCGTTAAATGCATAAATGTTTTTCTTTCTTTTTTTTTAAGCTATCTCTATACACATTATCATATCCATAAAAATTAATTATACTGTCACAAATAATAAAATAATTATAACAATTATAATTGTCATTAATACAGTTCACCCTTTCTAACCCAATGAGAATCAACCTAACCCTTCACCTCTATACATAAAAAACACATGACACCGCCACTATTGAATTGGCAGTCAACACGTGGATTGAGCAAAATTTCAGCTTTTTTTCAGCCACAACTGTAATATTTGTTTCTTAACAATCATAACCAAAATTTGAGGTAAGAAAACTCCAGACACTTTTTTCTTCAACTAAATTATCTGCACATGTCAATAAAAAAGACATACAAGAAAGACTTTATACAATTTACTTATTCTTTATCTTATGCTGGGTTCTGATCCATATTTGATTCCAGCTTACAATTTTACTTGGTATTACTTTCTGTCATGTCTCTAACACTACATAAAAACCAGATAATAAATAATATTTATTTTGTTGTTTCCACCTCTTGCTTTTTCATTTTATATAGTATTTTTGTATGTATAAATGTTAGGGGTTTATAATTATTTACCCAGAGTTATAACCCCCTTACACTGTAAGTTTTCTCTTTTCTTTGTGAGCTATTTTGTTCTTTATATAACTAAATGTATAAATTTCCTCCACTTGTTGAATTTGTTTCTTTTGAAAGTGTTGAATTCTTTTACTTTAGTGAATTCTTTTTACTTATTAATGAAAAGTTATAACTGGTCCCACTACAAACAAGTGACTAACAGTAACCTCATCCATTACAACCAAATAGCCTGTCTGCTAGTACTACAGTTCCTATTTTACTTGTTATTTTAATATTTCATTTTTGACTTCCCTATGTTTCAATAAGTTTGTTCTTCAAATTGCGCAATGATATCATTATTGTAACTAGTTATTCACATTCAAAGATTTTTATGAAAGAAAACAGTTGTCAACAACATGATAAGCAACTTAAAAATTATAGAGTACTGAAGCATTAAAAACTTAATTATCTTCCCTTGACTTAATTATATTTTATATATACATCTCAAAGGCTAAGAAATGTGTTATGAGACAGTATGGTACAAAATGTAAGTCACCTTACCAGTTGGGGCCAATCTCTCAAAATGACTAAATGTCTACTACACACTTCCATTTTCTCTCACTTTTCATGCTCTAGCCATATTACTGGTGGCCAAGTCAACTATCAAGTAAGACTTTATTTCACTATTTTTCTATATCTTCTGATATGTATTCAGTTTGTATGCTGAACAAACTATTGTCTAATTCTAATTTTGTAAATATACAGAGTATCATTAAGTCTCCTTACAGTTTAAAAAATATTTCAAAGGCAATTGATGAGATATCTTAATCACATTTGTTCTATATACTCAGTAGTTATCAAAGTTTTTAATCATATTGCATTTGTGTATTTCAGGTATTCTGTTGATGAAAGAGGTACTGTTAAATGAACATTTCCAGACTGGTGGATTGGAAGGGATGGCCCAATTCCCTGGCTGCCTCATTCACTAGCTATCACTCCCCTGGACTTCTTTCTATGGTGTTATATTAAAGATGTTTGTATCAGACAAAGATATGGGACATCACTGATCTAAAGCAAAAGATCATTGATGCCATTGACACCATTGATGAGGCTTCTTTAATTTGCTTAATTCAGCAATCACATCAATAGAAGTAATCAACAGAGTACAACTGGAAGTCCCATTAATCATAAAAATGCTGACCAAGCCCTTTTCAGTTTCTTTTCCACTTTTCCTTTTCAGTGGCCACTACCTTCAAGGCCAAATCTTGCTGCAGAAAACATGAGGCCTGTCCTGGCAGCCTGACTTGAGATTTCTTGTTCCTTGTGGAAACGAGTGGAGAAATTTTCATTCAAGACCCCTACCCAAAGGACTACTCACAACCCTTGCTGCAGAAGACACTTACTAGTAGTTCTAAAAGTTTCCCATTCAGATTTCTCATTCCTTGTGGGAACAAATGGAGAAATCTCTCTCTATGAAACATCTACTCAAGGGAAGAATTTTGTTAACTGAGGAACCCAACTCTTTTTCTTGCAAAATACTACTATTTTGCACTCTCTCTTTCAACCACAAATAAAAGCAGTTAAACAGTTCAAGCCTTGGATTTTGTTCATTCAACACTCACTGCCAAGCGCACACACATTCAATCAGGAAAAATCCCAACAAAGGCTGTATTGGGATGGTAGGATGCATTTATTTCCACCAGTCATTTCCATAGTACTGGAATAATTATATAGTCATATCATGTGAATTAAACACATTAATTAATGTGAATTAATTCACATTAATCAATGTGAATCTCCAGTTTATATCCAAAGTATAACAGATCAATGGTGCCTAACATATGTCATTATGAAAATTAAATAGTTTACCCAAAGATGGGTAACAGTAACTTTATTTATCTATGTTGATTTAGTGTTTTGGAGTTGCTTGTTTAAATTGTAAAATTCATAAAACTTAACAAAACCTCTTCAAATCAGTTATGATACATATCAATTTTATAGATTTATTATATGTAAACATAATATAGCAACAATAAGTAGAAGGTTATGAAGCTTTATCTAATTCAGCTTTAGCACTGAAAATGTTTATTTTATTATAGTGGATGGTTACAAGTGAGGAGATAAAATTTATTTTATTGCCACAGTATATAATTAAAGAACCAGTTTGGTATGCATTGCTTTGCTGATGGCAAGATAATCAAATTTAAATTGTTTGTCTAATTAGTATTCAAAAATACCATATTTATTAGAAAATATATTCAGTTTAAATACAGAAGTCATAAAAATGACTACAAAGGGCTGCACATAAGCATCAATAAGATAGTAATAATCTCTGTAGGTAAGAGAAAGAAAAGATGATTATTTTTATTTATATTTTCATTTCATTTTACAGATATTCACAAGACTAAGTAAAGAGATAGTTTGTCAAACATGTAACTGTTGATAATTTTCTTTTTTTTTATTGTCTCCAACTTTATGATTTTATTGCTCAGCCTAAGGTAAAGTCTGTCCAAATCGAGTGAGAAGGAAATGTGTTATTCCAATGTTTTATTTTGAATTCAATCATATTGTGTATGTGACTGTGTGAGCATTAAATGGCATAAGCACATGTAAGTAACTCATGCACAACACTCATGCCTATACATTACATATAGTCATACAAAGTCAGATACAGAACATGTTTGATGGACAGAGAATCAGCTCTTCTATTATAATAATAATAATAACACTATATATATATAATAATAATAATAATCGACTCTCCCATTGAGATTCGACTATGAGGGTCAACAGATTAGTTGAAGGAAACCGACAGCCCGACACCGGCACATGAGATTTGATTATAGTGGTGAAGGCCTCGTGCAGGACCATTCACATTTTTTTGAAGGGACGAATACAGAGACCTAGTGTCACGAATGCCCAAGTTTTCCCAAAGAAACCCTCCGCAGGTTTTGAATTCAGAGTTGTCCTTCTCCTAGACCAGTTGCCATCCAAGGCTATAGAACCCAGTCTGTCCTGCTATTTTATCCATAACTGGAGGGAGAGAAATATATATATATTACTATTTGTAATTTGCTATAACTAGATATAGTGTCTTTATTTTTTTTCCCATATTGAATGTTTCAGATCATGTTATGTTTCGGAAATCAAATTAAACTTTTTTTAATGTTCATGAAAAATCAGATATCAATATCAAAATAAACCAATTAAAATTTTATATTTATAAATTATTGCTTATAATCATTTTATGTCATGTATGAAATGCCTTATAGTCAGTCAGTTATGTGCCATGCGTGATACACACTTAGACGATCATGTATCTTTTGATACATGACTGACGAGGCAGATTTATTTTTTCCACAGTAGGTTGCTATTTCTTTCTGCAGTAGACCAATTGTCATCCTAGGCTATAGAACCTGATCTGTCCTGCTATTTACCCATAGCTGGGGGAGAAGATGAGGATTCATACCTTTTCCAAGGGTACTAGCATATAAGTGAATGTAATGGATTCAACTGGAATTCGAACTCGGTTCTCCGATTCCTCAATCTGAGCCTCTATACCATGACTTATGGTAGGCATATGTATTTTTTGTACTTACCATTTGATTTTCCATTTTAAATCAATGGGTTATTATTTATAAAAGTTTCTTTTGAAGAAAAAATCATAATGTGACATCATAGTCCATATCAAAAACTGTATTTGTAACAAAAGCTAAAGCAATAAAATTTTTAATCCTTTCTCTTAATGAAACATATAAATTTACCAATAAGAAATATAAACTTTCAATCCATAAGCTTTCAATTTTGAAAAAAAAAATTAATTTGTTTTCCAACTGTATGATTAATCTTTTTTTCTAAAGTAGTGTAAGAATTATTGTGTGTTATAAAAATTATAGGTGTACTTATGTACTTTCTCATTTACCAAACATAAAAAACGAATTTTAAGCTTTTATTTTACCTCAGTGAAACAAATTACCTCCCTTTAATGCTCTCTTCTCTTCTCTTTTCCAATTAATCCTCTACTTTTGATCATTGGCAGTCAGCAGTGTCTGGCCCATCTCACCATGGCGAAGCTACTTCTACATGGAGTTTTCAAGGTAATGAAACAAGATTAACATTTGTCATCAGAAGTAACCTTTGCTAAATACTGCGAAGTTTTACTTTCCAAATTCGCATCTTTTCTTTTTAAATTGAGACGATCGATTTTAATTTTATTTTCGTTTTAGCTCGCCTAATTAAAAAAAATTCATTGAAAAACTCTCTCATGGTAAAACAAAGTTTCTGATTATATTTCAGCGTTTTTTTTCTATTTGTTCAGATAATTTTATTTAGTCGATTGATTATTTTGATATCACGGAGATTATGAATGGACATTTCTGATACACTTTCTGATTTGAAGTAAAAATAACACATGTGATTAAGTTGGCAAACCCACCACAGCTTCACCGATTTTTTGTCTCATTCCGTTTTTTTTTTCTTGATTGATCACGGCATTTTTATGTATTTAAATGTTTTTTTAATGATAATGTTCAGATTTGTGACTAATTTCAGAGTATCCTGAATTTTTCACTAATAAGCTTCTTACGGAAAAAACCCCCCCAAAAAACAGCAATTGTACTTTGTCCTTCCAATGCCATTGAGGAAAATCTGCGAAAGCAATTTTCAGTTTTCCTCTTGTTAAAAATCTTTATTTTAATTACTTTAGTTTTTTTTTCTTTCAGTCATGAGCATTTTCTGACGTTGTGGCATTTTATACTCTTTATTTTTTATCAATATTCATTATTTTTCAAATTTTTTTTGTCGCAAAAACACGAAACAAAAAAAAAAAAGTAAAAAAATGCTAATGACAAAGAAGGACAGAGGTCGCAGGTTCAATCTATTCCTGCTTTTAAATGTGTCTTTTTTTGTCTTTCATAGTTTGACGTCTTGATCAGATTGGCAACGATTTCTTTTTTTTAATTCAAGATTAAATTTTGTTGTATTTTTTAATTTATTCATTTTTCTAAAATATTCAAGAAATCAATATTGTATTATCATTATTATTTTTTTTTATTTATTTTTTTTTTTTGATTCATGGAATATTTCATTAAAATTAAAAACAAAAATCTGACCAATTCTGATGATGTTTCATATTCAGCTCTTAATCACAAAAGCCATTTGTTGACATTTAAAACTTTTTTAACATATTCTTCTCTCAACTTCATTTTTCGAAATCTTTGTCAAAAAATCTTTTTTTATAACCACAGAAATATTATTGGTACTTTAATTTAACTCTACTGCAAAACTTTATTGTACACGCTAGTTCTAGTAGTTAGTGTATACAACTGTACAGTACACCTTTTATAATTAACCTGGAGAAGCCATTATTAGTGACGTTTGTAAAGTAAAAACGCATAAATTATTTAAAGGAAAGGTAAAAACATTAAAGTAGTAACTGTAAATAAAATAATAATTATTGATTAAAAACAAAGAAAAACAGGTTGTTAGAGATTTTTCCATATCTTTATTTTAAAATAAATAAAAATTATAAATTATTCATTCAAATACTGGGATTTTTTTCTTCACACCTTTTATTTTTGGTTGATTTTTTTTTTTTTTTTTTTTTTTTAAAGTATGGGTGGGGGAAAGAAGACATTTTTTGGAATGTTTAAAATTGGCATTTGATTTCTTCGGAGAAGCGAATTGGAATGGAAACAGTTACCTTTCTTTCAAACAATTCTCCAGTCAATAAATTTGAGTTGTTATTTTTCTGCATCTACAAGACGATTTTACTGGGTGAATGTCATTGAACATGTGTTATATGACCTCGTTATCCTCTAATCATGATTTTCTTTTCAGTTTTGCACTGTTACATTCAGTTTCTCTCTTTCTCTCGAAAGATTTTGGTAAATCTTTTCTTTGGCATCAATTTAGTATTTTTTTTTCATCGATGATATTCTAGTTCTAGTCTTCCTCTAATAGATGACCTTTATTATGTATAACGGAAGCTTGTCAATTTTTTTATGTTGACTTGTATTTGTAATCCTTTTAGGTACGTCCACGAAATCGCTAAAAAAAAAGAGCATAGCATGATGAAAAAGACGCCAACCTTGCCGAAAATAAAATTTTATCGTCTAAATGTTTATGTTGTTATTAAGAGGAAAGACCAAAGTTTTTTTTAATTATTTTTAAATTTTGATTAAAAAACCTTGTTTCTCTTTGTATCAGCGGAACTTGTAAATAAGACAATTTTTTTTTTTAGCACGTTTTTTTTTTTTTTGGTATTACACACATTAATTTGTAAAATCTTGCAAAAATAAAAATAATTGTCGGATGTTAATGAAACTTTCAGGAACTATTCACAGATGATCGAAATTATTATAAATGTTATTTTTTATTAGTCATGGCAGAAATATTTTTTTGATATTTACCCCCCCCCAACTAATTTTATGAAAACGCTAGAAATTCGATCGAGTCTAGTTTAATGATTAATAGTAAAATCACAAGGCTTTGAGGAATGCAAATCATGTTTTTTTTTTTTTTTTTTGACCCCTCCCCACCTGAAAATCAGCTCTGAATTGTAACATACAAAAAAAACAAAGATATTATTTAATTTCAAATGCTTTTATTTGCTTTTATGAATATGGACAATATTTTCTTAAAGCAAAAAAAAATTTTCGATGAAAAATGAATTTTTAATACAATTATTTGTTATTTCTTAATTATAATAGATTTACATTTAATTTTTTAAAATATAAAATTAGTTAAAAGCCGCATCAGGTTTCCTAAGTCTCCGCATGAGATAGATCTTTTTAAGCGCGTTGAAAATTGTATCATTTTTTGACTAATCAGAAGATCCGCAGTAATTAAGAAATGTAATTTTGTGTTTATAATCAGGCTGTAATTATAACGTATGGAAGACCAACCAGAATACAATTAAGTTGCGTTAAGCATTGTTCTCCGCTGTTAAGGCCTTTTTACTTTTGCGAAACACTTGTGAAGAAGTTAATTTGATTTTTCAATTTCAACTGAGAAGGGTACCTACAAGTATCGGTATCATATGAAATTTATATGGTCTTATTTTTATATTAATCTCAGTTATGTCATATGACATTTTCACATGAATGAAATATCAAAATTAATAATAAAATGAATGGAAATACAAATAACACAGTAAAATGTAATAAATGTACATAAAATTATAGTATTTTATGTACACTAAAAATGAAATTATAGTGTTAAATGTTCATGATTAAAGATACATTCAGGTAGAAGTTGACAATTATAATGAAGAATTTTCAATATCATAAATAATGTTAGAGAATTTTTCTTTTGCATTAAAATCATGCTGATGCTAAATCTTCACCAAGAACCAAGTGTCACTTTTTCTATTGAATTGAAGTAGGATAAACTCAATTGCATGATGTACACATTTAATTTGATCATTTAAAAAAATAAAATATCAATATCTGAAAATTAGAATAATTTATTAAGTCTTAAACATGTTACAATTATTTTTTCCCTATATCTTAAAAATATTCATATAAAATAATCTTTCTAAATATGTAATTTGTATATTATTCATTGATTTTTTTTTTTTTTTTACAGCAAGTTTAAAACGGTATTTTGCTTTGAATAGCTGAAATGTGAAATATGATTTCACCCCCCCACTACCCCAGTAAAGTAAATTTTAACATGTTACTTTGTTTCGCAAAATCAACATGAACAATCTTTCTTTATCAATATTTTTGAAATTGTACACTCAATTAGAAGACACCAATACAACCAGGAAGATGTTCATTTCTTCTTTGACCGGTGTAAGCGAATTCCTTCAAAAATTAAAGTAAGCAAAAAAAGAAAAGAAAAGCCATTGATAGTAAATATGTGGTAAAAGAACTTTCAAATTATTAAAACTACTGTCTGACACTGACAGACACTTGCTTTTGATTAGTCTATTTATTAAACTTTGGAATAAATTGTCAACTACAATCTTTATTAATGTTATAGACAAGCAAGAAAGGACAACAGCAGAAATAGATTTACGTGGCTTATTTCAACAGGAACATGTGGGTTTGGTAAAGTTCATAAGCCGGCTTCGGATCTAGGTCAATCTCTCATAGTAGTTCACACGTTGACGGTGGTTGACGCTCCCCTGCTGTCAGTAGCTGACCATGACAGGTCTCTACTCTGGGCACCTGTTGACTGACTGTTGAACTTCCGTGCGACCCCTTTTATAGCGTTTTTTCTTTTTTATGACTTAACAGGCTCGAAAAACGAAGCGAGTATAATTAGCAGGGAAGCATTTTTATTGGACGAAAAACTATTTCACTTTAAATATTATTTTTTATTTTTCGACCGGAACACGTGTGTCAGGAATACTTGTAAAGAAAAGATAATGGTCATTTTGTGACGGGGCTTTGTCCTGTTTGCATCCAGTTCTCACTCTTGAGTATTTGCCTGTAAATCAGCCGAGATATGTCTTATTTTATTTTATAACATTAACAAATTGATAAAATACAAAAGAAATCGTCGCATAAAATCTTTTTTTTTTTTTGGCAACACATTTTGAGAGAAAATGGTATAGCTCTCCATAAATTAGTTTATGATAGCTTTTAAAAAGCCAAAAAAAATGAAACCCCTCATGTTTTTAAAAATACAGCAATTGTGCTACACCAGTCAACTGTTATTGGGGTTTTGCAGATAAATTTCTTCTAAACAAGGAAAATCAATGAGTTATTTTTCCCCTAAATAAATTTATTTTATCTAGAGAATACACCTAAAATTACATATTAAAAATAATTAAAAGCTTTTAATTTCATTGTTTTAGAATGTGTAGATTTCCAAATCTGCGAGTATCACCTGTTCTTTTTAGATACACATTTTAAAACTGAAATTAAAAACTATTTTAATCATTTTAAATTTTAAATAATGTATAATCTTAAGTGTATTCGCTAGAAAACCATAAAGATATTTGTAAAAATGAATTAATTTTCCTTGTTTAGAAGAATTTTATAGGCAGAACAGTAAAGCACCAACCGAGCACTAGTGGCTAGTAAAAACTAAAAAGGAATAATTTTGAGTTTCACTTGAGTTTTTAAAAAATGGCTTGCAGTTTTGA